CACACACACACACACACACACACACACACACACACACACACACACACATTGTGAAAATTAAGAAACAAATCACTATTGGAGTAGACATGAGACGTGGCGTGTGTCTTGTCGATGCAAACTATTTAACAACATTGCAAAAAGATTTCAACCACCAAATGGCTTAAGAAAAATTAACAAACTTCTTTGATGATAAAAGAAAAAGATATCTCGAAACTTAAACCGATTTTAATAAAGTAGGCGTATATGAAGACACGCCCGCGCTCTCGTTAATCAAAACTATTTAACAATATTATAATAATGTTTAATGTTAAATATTAGTCGTTAAACGGCGTAAGAAAGATTAATAAACTCCATAGATTGCCCAAAAAAATGGATATCTCGAAATTCGAACCGCTTCTAAAGTCAACTTTATCTGTGCAATGTCGTTAACAAACGCATAGCATTGCCAACATATTTTTGACGAGATTAGTTCAATGTTGCATATTTTAGTATTCGAAGTCTTCTTTTTCTCGCTGGCTATTAATCGAGAAACTTTATCGGTGAATTTATTAGAAAAAGACATACTCTCTCTTTGTATTAAATAACTTTTTCGCGGATCACCGTTATGTTAATTATTATAGTATTCTAAAACTTTTTATCGTTGAATATAATAGAACAGAAGTGCTTTGCATCAAAAGACACTTAGCATTTGTCATTATACAAATATTTCTCATGATTCGTCTAGTACTGTGCGTCAGAATTTAGCGCTTCGTCTTTTTCACAGATCATTTGTGGCTACACATTTCTCGTTGGCTAGCATTTATGCAACGGCATTCTATAACTCTTTATCGTCTAATCTTGTTCGAGAGAGCATGCCTCACATTAAAGGATACATAAAAATGATGAGATGAATGTATTTCTCGAGATTTGTTTTGTGTCGTTTGTAACATTTCGGATCGTCTACCTTCCCACCGAGCGCGAGCGACGGCATTCGTAGCTCCTTTTTCTCGTTGGCTAGCATTATGCAACAGCATTCTATAACTCTTTTTCGTCTAATCTTGTTCGAGAGAGCATGTCTCACATTAAAGGATACATAACAATTATAAGATGAATGTATTTCTCGAGATTTGTTTTGTGTCGTTTGTAACATTTCGGACCGTCTACCTTCCCACCGAGCGCGAACGACGGCATTCGTAGCTCCTTTTTCTCGTTGGCTAGCATTATGCAACAGCATTCTAAAACTTTTTATCGTCTAATATTGTTCGAGAGAGTATGCTTCACATTAAAGGACACATAACGATATTAAAATAAACGTATTTCTCGAGATATTAAGTCGCGTATATCCGAAGATCGGCGCTCTGAAGTACGATACGCGACACCGACTGAATCTCGAGAAATAAGTTTATTTGAATATTGTTATGTGTCCTTTAATGTGAAGCATACTCTCTCGAACAATATTAGACGATAAAGAGTTTTAGAATGCTGTTGCAAAATGCTAGCCAACAAGAAATGTGTAGCCACGAATACCGTGTCCGGCGGCTTTCGGTGAGAAAGTCGAAGCTCTGAAATGTTAAAATAAAATAAAAAGTCGCTCGCGCGTCGATTTCTCGCGCCAAGCCAGCGACACATGGCCTTGACCTACTTTCGACGAGCAGCTGTACATTATTGATTTTCTTTCTAAATGGCCTTGACCTAGATCGCCGAGTCCGGACGCCGATGCCGGCGCGCGGCGTGCACGACAACGCATTAAAGAAATTTCGAGAAATACGTTTATTTTAACATCGCTACGTACTCTTTAATGCGAATCATGCTATCTCGAACAAAATTAGACGCTAAAGAGTTCGTCGCATTTCGGAGTTTTTCTTTTTCTCCAACTACCGCGCCCGATATCATTCAGCGTTATTTCTTTCTCGTTCGCTAACATTATGCAACAGCTTTCTAAAATTCTTTATCGTCTATAATTTTATTTGAAAGAGCATGCTTTGTCTGAAGAGGATATATCAATGTAAATATAACGGCATTTTTTAACAAGTGTTTAATTCCGTACGCTGATGATTTAGGAAACTCCGTTCTTCTCGCCAGTTACCTTTATTCAGTAACGTTTCGAAATTTTTTATTCTTAAATTTTTGGTAAGTGTGTCATTTATTAGCACTAACATTGTATATAATGTTAATATTTTCTTTGTAATAACAGGGTATAACATATTTCAAATAAATAAAAATGCATACTGTTCATATACCGACAAAATTGATTAACTGGGCGAAAGTTGTCTCGCTTATAAAATAGTATTTGTAATATTTAATTTGTATTTATTAATTAATAAAACAGATTGTATGTTAAAATATTTAAAGAACACTTTGTTGTTTGAAGAAAACATGTTTATACATTACAGTTGATCCCAATTTGTTATATGTATTGCTAATCTTGCAAAATATGTTGCTATATTTTACGTGCGCGTGAATTCTACATATATGTG